ATATAGATATAGATATAGATATAGATATAGATATATATAGAGAGAGAGAGAGAGAAATATGTCTACTGGACTAATATGGCTTACCCATTTATATTGCTATATATACAATTTGGCAGCATAGCCTGCTATGTGTGACAAAAAGCAGCCTCGTATGCTTGTTGCCAATTTGTAGGTTCACCTGTCATGAGAGAATATGTTGGTTGCCATTGCTAACTTGGTTTCCTGGCTATCTCTGTGATCAGTGCTGTCTGATTCACTGATGGGAAACAAGCATACAGCAAGGGAATTCATAGTGAAGATAGTGACTTGGAAATTTTTGAAGCCATAAGCTCTGCAAAACAGCCAGGCAGCTAGCATTTTCAGGGGGTAAAAGTTGGAGCCCCTATATTCCTCATGACATGTTTCCTTTTATATGTTTTCAATCATTTTACAGACCTCTCCTATATTTGAATATTCTAGACTGATAATCCTTGGCATGATCAATTATTAAACAGAATGGTATATTGCACCTGCTCCAGGCTGCTGAGAGCAATAGTAAAGGTGGCCTACAGTCACATGTAATGTTATTTTATGTTAAGAGCACGGTGAGGGCTCAGGCACCCCACACACCTAACAAGGTGTCAAATGAGAATATTTAGGCACCATAGAGCGAAGATTCTATGAAAGAGCACTGCACCAGGTGAGTAGAAATTGTTTCCCTTTACAGGTGCTAGTTGTATAGAGGGTGACCTTAATACAGTTTACAGGTTAAAGGGCGTTGAATATAGTAGACGGCTATCAAAACAAAATATAGTTAGTTTATATAGGTCACCCAAAATGATAACGATTTTTGTTTTTAAAGGAAAAGGGTCATAAGAGAAATATACAGGGGGCTCCCATTGCTGACCAACTTCTACCTGGCTGTCATGTATTCCAGAGGATGTATTTCCTGGCTGTCATGGATTCCAGAGGATTGGCACGACAGTCGAATTGGCATTTGCAGACAAATTTAAAACATATTTCTGTTTACAATAGGTTATATTATGAAAACTGGAGCAGAAAGAGTTGCAACCCTCAAGACTGGTTGTCCAAAAGTTATTTTTTTTCCCCTCCAACTCCTCCTTGGACAGATCTAGGGCATGCTTCCATAGACTTGCAAGGATTGGTGACCTCCAAGTACTAATCAAATTAGAATAGTCCTCTGGTTATTAGATATGAATCACATGCCCTTAGCAGGATTCCCTCAGCACAAATATATTTTTATATTTCTGTTATTTGTCTTGTATATACCACTATCGGTGTATTTTGCTAATATGTATTTGCATGTTTCATTCTTCTTCCTTTTTTTTTTTTTTTGTGTGTTTTTTTTGGTAGTTAGCTTGTTTGCTCACTGTATTTAGGCCTTATCACTATATACCAATACATTTTCTGTTGTGTTGAGCTCGGAAATCTTTTGCTTGAATCCTCATAACTAAATACTTGTAGATGTGAACATTTTTATATAGTGAATCATATCTTAACCGATTAATTTGAGTAACAAGCTGAGCTCCCTAATGAAAGCCTTGATCTGTGGCTGTAAAAACATTGATGAATCAGATCATCTGTTTTCAGACAAAATAGCACAGACGTGGGCATCACTTACTAGCATACTGGAGTATGCCACATCTATCTAGGGATGTTTGTTTTAGATGGCATTGAGTGAATGACAAAGCCTGAACAGCAGCAGAGAGTCGTTACTAGCGCTGCTCTGTCAACTGTCTCTGTAATTATGAAGCCATGTATCTGCGGTGGAGACGAGACACACAGCCCCAGAGAAAAATAAAAAGCAGGGAACTACCTTGCCGTCCTCCCTATCCCCTTTTATTGCTCAAGGACCACCAGGGTGAAATTGTAGCAGAAGCTGCAGTAGGGAGAGGCTTACTGCTGAGCTCTTGGGTTGAGGCAACACAGCAGGATGCAGGGGCTAGTGCCCAACCTCACTGGAAAATCACGGTGCATCATCAAGCTCAGACTCAGCCTACATGCAACAGGCGAGAAATACAAAATAGCAACTGTGCGCATAACAGTGCCTGGGCACTTAGGCATTAAATAACGGAAAATGCCCCTAATTCAGAGAGCTTCGGAGGCTATCCTTGCCCAAGAATAGAAGCAGAAGGGATGCAATCAATTTAACTCGCCGTTAGTAACAGGGAGTGTAAACCCAATACCGAGCTTGTAAACTTATGTAGAAGGGGAAAAATGTCCCTTACACACTGCCCAGTAGGTATAGCAGCTTTAATACGCAGAGCTTATACTGAATGTAAAGACATTTTTCTTCAACCAGACATATGGCCTGAATGCATAACATGGAGTCTTCAGAGATTGGGTCAGATAAACTATCGCAGCGCTGGTCCTGACACTCAGCAAGAAATCCCCAGACATACTGGTCTGACCTGACAGCCGAGTCCTGTAGTTACTGGAACACAGATGGGATATTATTGACTGCAGGTCCTTCGCAGAGAGATCACTGGAATAAAACCAGTAAAACCTGTGCTTCATAGCTAACTGGAGAAACTTTCAGCATTTTTAATTATGTGGCATGAATCTACCAGTGCTGTTGACTGACTGGGGAAACTATACTGGATTTCATATATCCAGCATGAATCTACCAACAGCTGTTGATGGTAGAAATCTTCCAAACGATCAGCGAACATCAGAACTGAAGAAAACATGTCCTCTCTTCTGACATGATGGTTGTGGGTGGGGTTAAACCGTGCTGGTAAATGGGCTTTTATTTTTTGCCAGTGTCCATTTCTACTGTAGACAGCAGTATAACCCAACAGTCTTAAGAATTCCTGTGTCCCTCAATGGGCAATAAAGAAATGCCAGTTTTGAGGCTTTCATGCTTGACCCTCATGGTGCAGTACTTTTGAATCATTGATGTTTTATTCTAAACTTTTCTCTGAATTTCCTGATCTCCAAATTAGAATTAATAATTAGAAAGGACTGTTCATTTTCAGTGCAGAGGATTGGGTTAATTGTGCTTTTATTTTTCAATACTTTTTTGGCTCAGTTTAATTTAAGGGTTAGGTGTTAAAGTTTAGGATTCAAAATGTATTTTGTGGTGCTTGGTAAATGTACTTGATACTAAAAATTCCTCTTCAAAAGCATAAATCACCTAATTCAGAATGCCAAAAAAAATAACATACCAGAATATAAAAGAATTAGAGTTAAGGAATTGTTATAACGGCCAGGCAGCTATTGTTTTCTGGAGGATATTGATTATGGCATCCTCCATAGTTGCTCAGTTTCCTCTAATTATGAGAAGATAAATGTAGAACCCCTTAGGAATGATTTGTGGATTTTGGGCCCTTCATTGTATTACTTTGACAATTGGCCTTCAGCAATTGTCTGCTTAATTCTTACTTTGAGGAATGACATTACCCCTGCTACTATTGTAAGCTGCTGTGCATATACTTCAGTGTCCCCAACCAACAAATCATTGATTCGCCCATCTAGCTTTTTAAATTGTCCAGGTAGGTTAGTTCTAATTGGACAAGTGTGTGATGAAAGATCTATTTTATGAAATGTAGCTGATCAAACTATAATCAAGACACTGTCACTTTTCAAAAGCAACTGTGTTGTAATTCTGCTTTTGTACACCTTACTGTAACTGTACTACATGTGCTTTGTCAGTACAGAACCTCCTGAGGTAATATTGATAGTTTACAGCTGAAACTGAGGAAACGGTTTGGGATCTGGAGTCTTGTAGACTTCTTCTCAGGATAAGACTAGAATGGAGAATAACATCCCTGTCTCTCCCTAGGCATTAATAACGGAACATGGAGATCTTGGTAACGGGAGGTTTTTGGATCCAAAGAACAAGATTTCCTTTAGATTTGATCACTTGAGGAAGGAGGCCAGTGATCCCAAGCCCCATGAGGGAGAAAATGCCATCGAATCGTGGAGGAATGTTGTGGACTCTGCAGTGAGATCCTATGTGAAAGATCATTATCCTAATGGATCTAGTACTGTAAGTAGAAATCATGTTTGCATTTTCTCTAAGTGGAATTTTACCTCTCGTTCATGCCAATTATCTTTGTAACCTTAGGTGTACGGGAAAACAATTGATGGACAGCAAACTATTATTGTATGTATAGAGAGTCATCAGTTTCAAGCTAAAAACTTCTGGTAAGTCGTTTTTTTGGGGGGTTTTTCCTCTCAAATATCTGAAGACCGCGTCATCTGTCTTTTATTTGAATGACACTTTAGTTCAGGCATGCTAAAGCCTCAAGAGATTTAGGAGCTACTAATTACTGACCTATTTACACAAATTCACAAACGTGAAGTAAACTGTGTGTAAATATATCGGTACAACAAACCCAGACAGATTCTGGTTGCCAACCAAAACACAGCTTTGTCCCCAAGAAAGATTTGTTTATTTGAACACCGTTTTTTAAAATGTCATGGTAGTGTAAGTTAAAACCTCAGATCACTTTGTGTCCCATATCCCATGTATTCTTACCACCAAAAGAAAGCTCTATCTGTCCCCAAAAAATGGTATAAAATTCATTTCAGTACAGCGTTGCATGACGGAATAAACGTCAGTCAAAGTATCGCAGCGCTGAATACTGAAAAATGGCCTGGCCAGGAAGGGGGTCTAAACACCTGGTCTTGAAGTGGTTAAACATCAGAACTGTGACATCACATAATGATAATGCACAACTATATAATCCTTGCTTAATTTAAAAAAAAAAGAGAGTTGCAACCAGGCAGGCAGTGAGAATACATAGTTTCCTGGGATATGGGATACAAAATGGTCTTGAGGTTTTAACTTGCATCCCCATGACATTTTTAAACAATTCTGTACAAATCTTTCTTTGGGGGCACAGTTCTATTTTTTTCATTTATTATTTTTATTTATTTTTTACACAGTTTGATATGTGTGCACATTGTCAGTCTGCAATACAGATATATTGTTTTGGGAGTGTGAAGTAATTGGGGAAATCCTGTTTCTACTAGACACCATCAGAACTGTACTCGGTGAGAAAAACACATTTTTACTAGCCGCTATCTAGTGGCAGCTAGCAGAACTGTAGTCATTGAAACCATATAAATTACCTGCTCTCCTTTTTTGAGCTTTTTTTTTTTTTTTTTTTTTTTTTTTTTTTTTTTTTTACATCAGCCTGGTGACTGGGATTTATCCTGCTCTGCTGTAGCCTAATATCAGTTTGGATGCATATGCTACTGCCAGTTAAGTTTTGAATGCTCGAACAGCAGCTTTGTAGGCTTTTTTTATGTGTTTAAAAAGGCTAATGTCAACATTTCTTCATAAAGAACAATAAAGCTTATATTTTGAAGCAATGTGCTTTTATTGTACTTATTTACTGCATACACTCATTCACATCATGGTGTTCTCTTAACTTCCTATAATGCACAATTGTAAAGGAGGTTGAAATACAAGGTTTCACACATACTCAACATTATCACAGTTGGTGATTACAGGTTTGGAACAAAATTTATACTAAGTTCAGAGCGGCCATTAACCATGACCTTCTGATTTTGTCAAAGTTGGGCAAGCAAGTTCTGCCTTGGTAGTGTGTCATTTAATGATGGTAACAAAGGTTTTTAGGTCTGGTGCCAAGGTGTCTTTCCATTTTTGTAAGATTTACTTTTAAAGCGTGTGGGTGTGTACTACATGATCTTGTAGTATAGCAAGCAGATTTCTGGAAGTTGTGGCAGATTTTAGCCCATAGTTCTTAGCAGTAAGAGGTGTATTTGTTGCCGATAAGATGATATTTTTGGGACAGAACAAAAATAATGTAAATAACTTCCCGTACTGCAATGGTAGGATTTGGCAGAATGTTTGATTCCCGTACAGTATACAGAAGTATAATAGCCTGTGAACAGACACCTTGGGTACTAATAACTGTAGAAAAGATTTCCTGCATTGAAGTCCTCTTTCATTAGAGATGGTATGTCCTTGGACCATCTTTGCCAGGCTCTTTCAAAGGGAGCAGGGGTCACCATTTTGAAGGAAGCGATAAATGCTCGCCACTTGTTTGGAAACAACTGACCCAAGTTGTGGCAGTATAGCAGGTTAAAGAGTGAGGTACCTCTAGAAGTGGTTATTGAGTTCAAAGTTTGCTTTCAGGTGTTGAAAAGAAACAAGTATACCATTGTCATACAGGTGGCTAATGTGTGATTCCTCTGCTTCAGCAAAGTCATGGAGAGTTGTGAGGCTTGTTTTACACTACTGAGGTGTAAAAGGTGATAGAGTTTCAGGCCTAGAGTTTTAGCTTAATGCCATGCTATAATGTCTACATAAACAGGCAAATTTTGGAGGGAAAGTTTGAAAGGTTGGTTGGTCAGTCAACTCCTGTGTATGAATCCTGTATTGTGGCTTCTAGAACTGTGCCCATATTTTCAACAGTAGCATTTAGCCAGTCCTTAAAGGTGAACTCCAGGTATAACGTTCGTTTGCATACTTACATTGGCCCATACCCTACCTGATCTGTTGCTGGGGGTCCAGTAAAACACTGCAGTAGCTGCAGTGCTGGTCTTGATCTTCTGGGTGCCGGTACTGTGCTGTGGTGAGTAGCTTCCCCTCTGGCCTGAAAACACAGGGGGTTGCTTGTTTGGCACAGCGACTATTCAAAGAACGCCTAGGATTTTTATCGATGACTACAAGTTGTTCTCGTATTTGATGTGGGGCAGTGATGTCAAGATATGCCCTTCATCCAGAGAATGCCTTTTATTTATTGGTGTGAGTTAAATATTCTAGGTCTCTGCCACTAGGTAGGAGTAGATAATTGAATCATATTTTGAGCACCATAGATCTGTCAGACATGGTATTACAACAGGAACTGAAGTTCAGAGCGTCAGGGGCATACATTAACAGAGGGTCTTGGTTCAAATTAAAGTTTTCTAGAAAAATAAATAATGTCTGGAGAAGGGAAAAAGGTTTGTTTGCAATATCCATGGAGACGTGCCTGTCCTGATGTTGAGAATGATAGATTTGTTAAATGTACGATAGGTTTGTTGTAAGCCTTGCAATGCAGCATAAGGTAGCAACCTTTTATTATCAGTAAAACAGTTAAACACTCAAAAGGTAAGTATTTGCTGATTTGAAAGTTGACACTCCTATAAAGTATGAGAAATATGTGAAGTGGAAGCCATTTCTAAGCCATGGTATTTATGGCCAGTTAGATGTGTGGTTTGTTGACAAATATTAGACAACAGGCTTTTCAGGGTATTAAATATGTGGGCATAGTTAAATTTTGAGTTAAGATTTGATATTCCATGAAACCACTGTTGGTCTCGTCATGACATTGTAGCTTTACGTATGGTAAGTGGGGTAGAGAAGCCTCTGAATGAAGGGAAGAGATCTGGGGTTCCCCGGGCTGCAGCAGTGCTCGCTGCCTCCTGATGCTACAGGCTGGCTTTGGTGTGGCTGGATGCTAGGAGGTTACAGCTCTTCAGCCCTCGCTGGTGTTGAGCCCCCTGACAACAAGCTGTCACTGAGGAGCTCCAACTATATGCTGAAGAGAGCCACTGTAGGACCCTCTGCGGTGCTGGCACCATTTTGTTTTGTGTCCTGCTTGCTGATCATGGCGGATTTGTGTTTGCGGAGCATTCATCTCTGGATAGACCATGTGGGATGTCAGCAGTGTTATTGGTGCTTTCAGGGACTGTGTGTCTGTGATTCAGCCCAAGCTGGATCAGGATAGCACATCTGGAGCTGTCTGTCTGTGAGTCCCTTTTTGCGTTTCCACAGTTTCCTTTAGTGGTGGGTGGGGCTGCTACGTTTATAGCAAAGTATAATGTAACTATTTTAGTTTTCTAAAACCTGCAGAGATGAGGACTGTGCAGTTATCCTTGAAGTTTATTTCCACCTTTGCACACACATTCAAAAAATCCCCACCTATATGTTTTTGTGTTCATATTCACACAGCATACCTAAAAAATAATTATTTAAAAACGCATTTCTTAACTTTTTAGATGTGTATGTAAAGAGAAGCTCCAAAGGCTTGCCACACAATTTCAAAGTGACAGGAAACTCTAGCTGTTCCCTAAGAAAGACTAGGGAAAGACCGACCTTCCTCTTAACGTACAATACTTCAGCATTGCAATCCTTTGTTTGCAACTGATAATGAGATATGCAAGCACAGTAGAAGCAGTGTTAGTTATTGTAACAGCCTCCCCACCAGTTTACTGAAAATTAGAGGTGCACCGAAATAGACATGTAAAAACCAAAATAAAAAAAATTGTCAGGCCTAAACCAAAAACATTTTTTTATTTTTTTCAAAAAAATATTTTATAAACTTTTTTTAATTTTGTTTTTATATTTTTATTTTTTTACTTTATTTTTAGGGGCTTCGGGGAAATAGGGGTCTAAGCAGACCCCCTGATATTTCCCTTTTAAAATAGAAAAAGAGATGGGAGGAGAGGACTGTGTTCTTAATCTCTTTTTCTGTATCCCCTGTTATCAATCAACAGGAATCCTCTGTACTGAGTGTTTCTGTTCATTGATAACTTGAGAATATAGTATGTTTACTATAACTACAACTATGAATGAACAGGAGGGGATGTAGATCACTCCCATTCATTCATAATTGAGGATATAGTACACATACTATGTCCTTATGTACAAACACTCACTGATCGAGCGGTGCAGGGAGGAGAGCTCAGCCTCCTGTGACAGCGCCGCCTGTCTCCGCCCACACACCGCTCTGTGATAGGAGGCTGAGCGGTGTGGGAGGAGAGACGCCGGCCACTCGCAGCGCTCGGCCGGCTGTCACTTTCTCTCCTCCCCGCTGGGACACAGAGCAGCGCCCAGCAGCAGGGAGGAAAGAAACCTGGGATGCGCCGATGTATCGGCAGGAAAATGGCACTTTCAGCATTTAGCCAAAAGTGCCATTTTAGGCCGTTATGTTTCGGCGGCCGATATATTGATGCATCCCTACTGAAAATCTTTTCTCTGCGGAAAGAGCAAGTATTATGTAATCAGCATTTTTTAACTTATGTTATGTGAATGAGAACATGTAGCAAAGTTTAGCTGCAAGTGCATATACACTTTTCCCATAGTGAATTTTTCATATACATTACATCTCCATTTGATGTGTTCTGGATTGGCGTAAAGAGAATTTCTATAATTGTATTATATACATTCTTCAATAAAACAGAAATAAGTCAAGATGCTTTAGAAAAATGCTGGGATGTTTAGGGAGCAGAAGCTCTCCTTGAAATCTACTTTGCAAGTCCATAGTGATCACTGTTGTGACAGCATATAAGAGCACCAGATCTGGTTCTGTATTACTTGGCATTGTGTTGAGTATTGCTGAACCGGTTTGTAACTACTTGCCTTCTCTCATATTTTTGTTTTGTCCTAGCATCTTTCTATTTATTATATATGTACTGTATACTAACTTTTAAAAGGAAACAACCTATATTTGAATATACTTTTCACCAGAATGTATATTGCAAAACCACACTTTTTTGTCGTTTGTAAAAATTGATTGCTAAATTTTGTTTTCTAGGAATGGACGCTGGAGGTCAGAATGGAAATTTTCCATAACGCAATCTACTACGAAGGTGGTGGGACTTCTAAAAATTCAGGTATTTCATGGTTTACCTTCTGTGGTTGTAAAACATCATACATTTATTGGAGTCCATTTTCTTTATCATTTAACCCTTATGCTTCTTCAGGGAAATAGGGGTCTAAGCAGACCCCCTGATATTTCCCTTTTAAAATAGAAAAAGAGATGGGAGGAGAGGACTGTGTTCTTAATCTCTTTTTCTGTATCCCCTGTTATCAATCAACAGGAATCCTCTGTACTGAGTGTTTCTGTTCATTGATAACTTGAGAATATAGTATGTTTACTATAACTACAACTATGAATGAACAGGAGGGGATGTAGATCACTCCCATTCATTCATAATTGAGGATATAGTACACATACTATGTCCTTATGTACAAACACTCACTGATCGAGCGGTGCAGGGAGGAGAGCTCAGCCTCCTGTGACAGCGCCGCCTGTCTCCGCCCACACACCGCTCTGTGATAGGAGGCTGAGCGGTGTGGGAGGAGAGACGCCGGCCACTCGCAGCGCTCGGCCGGCTGTCACTTTCTCTCCTCCCCGCTGGGACACAGAGCAGCGCCCAGCAGCAGGGAGGAAAGAAACCTGGGATGCGCCGATGTATCGGCAGGAAAATGGCACTTTCAGCATTTAGCCAAAAGTGCCATTTTAGGCCGTTATGTTTCGGCGGCCGATATATTGATGCATCCCTACTGAAAATCTTTTCTCTGCGGAAAGAGCAAGTATTATGTAATCAGCATTTTTTAACTTATGTTATGTGAATGAGAACATGTAGCAAAGTTTAGCTGCAAGTGCATATACACTTTTCCCATAGTGAATTTTTCATATACATTACATCTCCATTTGATGTGTTCTGGATTGGCGTAAAGAGAATTTCTATAATTGTATTATATACATTCTTCAATAAAACAGAAATAAGTCAAGATGCTTTAGAAAAATGCTGGGATGTTTAGGGAGCAGAAGCTCTCCTTGAAATCTACTTTGCAAGTCCATAGTGATCACTGTTGTGACAGCATATAAGAGCACCAGATCTGGTTCTGTATTACTTGGCATTGTGTTGAGTATTGCTGAACCGGTTTGTAACTACTTGCCTTCTCTCATATTTTTGTTTTGTCCTAGCATCTTTCTATTTATTATATATGTACTGTATACTAACTTTTAAAAGGAAACAACCTATATTTGAATATACTTTTCACCAGAATGTATATTGCAAAACCACACTTTTTTGTCGTTTGTAAAAATTGATTGCTAAATTTTGTTTTCTAGGAATGGACGCTGGAGGTCAGAATGGAAATTTTCCATAACGCAATCTACTACGAAGGTGGTGGGACTTCTAAAAATTCAGGTATTTCATGGTTTACCTTCTGTGGTTGTAAAACATCATACATTTATTGGAGTCCATTTTCTTTATCATTTAACCCTTATGCTGTTGCCAACGCATATGTTGGCAGCAGGGCAACCGGCAGTCTGTTAACATGTGTAAAGCCAACTGTCTGCTTTAGACTCAAAATGATTCACAGTTTACAGCCACCTAATCACTTCCCCAGACTGTCATACATGCGCTGCGAACATGGGTGCCAGCCATGCTGATCTGGGGGCTGATTTAGGCATTGTGTTATTAAGGGGAGATGTATATAAATTATGGAAGGGGGCTCTACTGGTGATCACACCAGGTGCATTGAGCTGTGTTGATCAGCGCAGTGCCACTTAGAAGACTGTTTATTCATGCCATACAAGTGCCTTAGAGTGTGCGCTGCATAAAACTACAGCATGTAACACTATGTTCCTATCATAATACTAAAAAGTTCCCGGGCTCTGCTGTGCCCGGTGCGAGCCCGGGATCAGCAGGTCGCTTGTGACACGGGATCAGAGAGGGCTCGGTACACGAGCTCCCTCCGGTCCCCTCTGCTCTGCAAGAATGCGGAGGTGTTGTATAATACATCACTTCCGCATTCTTGTGTCACTCTTCAGCTTCAGAAGCTGCAAAGAAGCTGATGGAGCAGATCTCTGCTTCATCAGCTTCTTTTGGGGGGGTCCTAGGTGACATTAGGGGTCTTGGAGACCCCTGATGTCTCCATAAAGAGGACCTGTCACATATTTTGCTATCACATAGGGGGTTTTTATTAGCCTCGTATGTGATAGCAATAAAGTTTAGTAAAAAAAGAAAAAAAAAATCAAGTTCCCCACCCAAAAAAAATGTAAAAGTAACACATTTAAAAAATGCGGGGGCGCATACGTGCAAAAACGACGATTGCACCCATTAATTTTTCCTAATTATAGTAAAAAATAAAAACCCCAGTGGTGATTAAATACCACCAAAATAAAGCTCTATCTATCCCCAAAAAATGGTATAAAATTAATTTCAGTACAGTGCTGCGTGACGGAATAAATGTCAGTCAAAGTACCGCAGCGCTGAATACTGAAAAATGGCCTGGCCAGGAAGGGGGTCTAAACACCTGGTCTTGAAGTGGTTAAAAACAGTTGAACATGCAGTGCAAGGCATAAAAACGGCATATCGACACGCATGCCTTTTTGTGTGCCTTCTGTTGTGAAGGAGCCTGAAGACTCCTCTTTCAAAGACTAAAATTCTAAAACTCTAGCAAGCACTATTTTGTATTAATATGACCGTTCTAGATTTTGAAAGCTCTCTATGCTTTTATGGTGCCCACATGACTAGAACTGACATAACCCATGTTGTTGTGTACAGCCACTCTTCCTCTTCAGCATGTTATAGCCAAGCAAGTCTTAAGGGGCTGGGCCCAGAGACAAACTATAAGAATAGGAAATAACCATTTGACTAGGTTAAATGCGGGGGAATTTGGTAGGTCCTATGTTTAAAGTAATGGCTTTTCAGTTATGTTTGTGTTCAACCAAGTTCAGATTTTTGTTGGATAGTCTTTCTTCATGCATCACTTCTTAGCTTTGTACATCCATTTAGTTTCCAGTGCAGAAATGTTTTGTGCAAGAGTAGTGCAGCTTCAATGTTAACCTCAGATCTGCTGACTGCCAAGGTGTCTTGAGTGGGCCATCGCTGACATCTACTAATTTATGGACTTGGGCCTCATTTACACGACAGCCGGCCCGTACAGATCCGTGCTGCGTGCACGGCCGTATTGGGCCGCTCCCAGGAAGGACAGATGCTGCTTGTGATTTGTATGCAGCAGCCGGTTCTCTATAGTAGTATGCGGCCATACGCTCACCCGAACTACACGTCCGTGTGTGTGTTAATACACAGACAGGATGGGTCCTGTCTGCACCCAAGCAAGGACACCCGCACGGATGTGCAGTTCAAGGGAGCGGCCCGATACGGCCGTACACGGATCTGTACGGACCGGCTGTTAGTCGTGTAAATGAGGCCAAAGAGGCTTCTCACAGCCAGATTCAAAATATCATTCTAAAATGTGAAATGCTAACTTGCTGCGGTGGAATACACAGAGTTTAGACTAAAATCAAATGGGTGAACTTTCTGACTTGTAACACAATTTTAGTGTTTCCTGAATAGCATTAGTTGCTTACTGATTGGTTACACTTGTTCTGTAATGTATTTCATTAAATCCTTTTACAAGGTAATAATCTTGTATATTTTACATAGGTTCATTATTATGAAGATGGAAATGTACAGTTAGTGAGCCATAAAGATATTGAAGAATCACTAACAGTGACTGTAAGTATGTTATTCACCCATCCAGGTCGAATTGTGTAAAGTTGTGTATCAGTAATATAGTGGCAATATCCCTCCAACAAACTGATCAGACAAGTGACAGTTGCTTGAACAATGTTCTACTATGTCTGGGCTGAATAGTATAAAAATAAAAATGTAAGAAAAATGCAATGTAAGAAAAATTGATTGTGTGTGTCAGTGTCCGTCCAGCTTTGCAGTCTCCTTTCTGAATTTAGAGAGAAAGTAGAACCCATAAGGCTTTTGGTGAGGTAGTAAAAAAAAAAGTCCAGCGTAGCACAGTGGCGCCGCCTTAAGATAGAAGTCATTTACATTAATAAAAAATAATGCAGTGCTTAAAATGCAGTTCACATTGGCAATATCCTCCTGTTCTTAAAATATATAAACATCTGATCTCAGAAGATTACTAAGACACTCACCAGGTCCACCGAGCCCACAGATCAGCAGAGGTTAGGTCACACTTAATGATGTTTATCCATATCTGTGTCTTGTATAAGCAGCAGTGAAAACACTCCCCAGCAGTAGTTCCTAATTCTCTTCAGAGCCTTGTACCCACTACAGATCAGGGCTTTTGGCTCCAGACCACACGCTCCTAATAGTTTCCTCCTGGCAGTATATCATATTCCAGCTGGTTACAATAAAACGCTCCATAAGGTAGCTCCATAAGCTGAACTAAGGCAGCATCCTGCTGACACGCAATGTGCCTTCAAGAACACTCCAGTCATCCAAATGTTATTCCATCACATATCCCAAAGAGTTCCAGGATAGTGGATGGAGCCATGCAAATATTTCCTTTCCACCCCACCAGCTATCCAGAACTTCTGGTGTATAGCAAAGACACAGCCATAGTACTTTTTATTTCCGTAGTGTTGGCTACAGCCAATGATGATTTCTATTACTCAAATTGGCAACCAGTTATATTGTGCTCAATGAAAATATCGCACACAACAGGGAACTATGTCTACATTTCCCATTTGATATGGGAACCTTGGTTACAGCTTCAGTCAAATTTAGCACAGTGATTGTAAAATAATGAAATCATTATATATAAAGATGTCATTTTCGGGTTTTAAAATTCTCCATTCTATATGACCAGAATATAGATGGATACAAATTTTTTTTCAATTTGTATTGAGTGCAGTGAAGTATCCTATCATACTTTACACATGTGTGAGCATGTTTAGGTATATCCCTTTTTTGGGTGCTTTTATTTAAAAATAAAATCTATATATGAAACTTGAGAGAATTCCAGGACTGCAGGCTCGTATAAAAAAAGAAAAAAAAAATCGATGCGATTCAAAAGATGCCTAGGAATGGTATCAAGGGATCAACCGTGAAAGTGTTAGACAACGCAGTAATCCGTAGCAGCCAATAAGATTTCAAGAGAAATTCAGAAGCTAAAAAGATGATTAGCTGGTATTGATCACTGCACTTTTCATGCTGCATTATTAAATCGGCCTGCAGAAGTGCAGGGATGTGAGATAAAACAGGTCTTCCATACAGACCCAATTATTATGTCAGTTGCCGCTCTACATCAAAATCAATTTAGGAGTATGTATTGTTGTGTTTGTAAATTTAGAGTGTGCATGGCAACACTTGTCCCTCGTATTTCATGGATGGTTGGTTGTCATAACTCAGTGCTTCCCCAAAAAATCAGGTCATGTCTAATAATTGAGGAAGTTTATATCAGGCAGCAACCTTTTCCCAGTTTATATTCATGATTTCTATTTTGATTTATTGCATCTTCTAGAATGAAAGTCAGACTGCAAAGGAGTTCATTAAGATTATAGAGGATGCTGAAAACGAATACCAGGTACGTCTGTTCCGGTTTAATGATTTTGGAACTGAATTAACTGAAGTCAAAATACAAAAATATTTCTTACTGCTCAATAAAGGTTATTCTTTCACCCTTTTGCTGCCACCAATGTATGCTATACATTGGCAGCAGATTTACATAAGACATAAAAACTTGAATTTCTTATGTTGGTTATTCACTACCATGAATAAATGCATATTGTGCCCTTTGTAAACGTGCTGCTCTCCTGTACATTGACTGCTATGATTTAACCCTTGTATCTCTTCCTGTCTTAGACTGCAATCAGTGAGAACTACCAGACTATGTCTGACACTACTTTCAAAGCCTTACGCCGGCAGCTGCCAGTGACGCGCACAAAGATTGACTGGAACAAGATTCTTAGTTACAAAATTGGAAAAGAAATGCAACATGCTTAACATGAACGTTGTACGCCTGGATGATTTTAGTGTCTGTGCATACAAATAAACATGGTTGCAAAGGTCTTTGAAGCTGCCAACTTGCCTGGTCAGCATGGCCCCGTGCTATAAATATTAAATTACTGTAATTAAAATCGGCTACAGCACAACATTTACATTATGAATGTGTTTACATTTTTGCTTTGAGGGTTGGTACATGTACTGCATTTAGGTCCTTTCCCCTTGTTTACATTTTTAGGATGTCAAAAAGGTTTTCAAGGCTTATCTAAAATGCAAAAAATGTGGTTAAACTGCCATGAAAAAAAATAATAATTTTGGCTTCAGCAGTTACCAAGGATGGATACTGGTGGTACACTGGCCTTATGTAATGCTCTAGACACCAAATGATTTCCATCTCTAGATGGGGAGTCAAAAGGTCATAGCCCTTTATTACTCTGTTCTCTTAAACGAGTCCTTTTTAACATATAAACTTTGCAAGGCCAAGTTGTTATGTTACTCTTGAGAATTTCTGTAAATCAGACAATGCTTGAATATATTAAATGCTTTGTTTTGTCAGTTTTATTTTTTTTTCTATTCTCTGCCCTTGAAATGTATTACAAGTCAATGTGACATTAAAATGCAGATTTTCTATTTGAACGAGTAGCATGTCCTTGCAACAAACCATCATATGCTTTTAGTTCTTGGAAAGGAGTTTAATATTGAGTGTCAAACTCAGTTTACAGCCATGTACCCACAATCACAGACAGTACCGCTTGACAGTCACTCATCTCCAACCCCTGCTTCATTTACAACCAGCAGACTAGCACACTGAGATAGCTATTTGCCCCAATTCACTGCTAGTCCTGCCTTATTCCATGAATCCATACATCCACATGTTCTCACCACCAATGTGCCACAGTCTGTTTTTTGTCACAATTTGTAAATGCCAAAAAAAAAATCACTATAACTTGCCTTTATTATCCTCCATGCTGTCTTGGTTGGCATGTCGATGTGTACTGAAGATGTGCTTACTATTGTGGAAGGCAAAAAGATGTCTGCACTCCATGTTTGCTTCTGGCTTTGGTAGGCGGGTGGAAATAATGTAGTTATATGCATTAGTGGCAGCTTTACAATTGGCATGATAGTGCCACTTTCACATGCTCAACATATCCCTAGAGAAAAATGCATGTTGCACATTGCTGAGACTTGCAATATCTCCTTGCCATAACTCAACACTGTGTTCTGGTCCATATATGACTATTGGGTGGGAAAATCTCATAAAGAACCTGTAATGCTCAGTTCAGTACACACAGTTACTAGCCACAAATAGCTGTACCATTAAAGAGTTTCTATGACCTTCATAATATATGCTTTTTTTCAAGGTGATTGCTTGAAAGTTATTGATGATCAACATAACAGCCAGCCAAATAGTTTTTTCAGAGGTCGGTCAGCAATGGAAGCCTCCATATTCCTCTCATGACAGATTTAACCCCTTCGTGACTGACGACGTACAGTGTACGTCGCCAGCATCGAGGCAAAAGCCGCCGGGACTCTGTTTTAAACTTGTAAAGCCGACTGTTGGCTTTACAACAGAAGCGATTCTGGCGAGTTACCTGTCGCCAGATCGCTTCTGTGTCCTGGGGGGGGGCTTGTAAGCACCCCTATGTGATAGCAGTCAAAGTAAAAGTTTTTAAAAATAAATATAATAAAAAAATTAAAGTTGGTATATTTTGAGTTAAACTGGGAGTTTTATCATGTGTGTCAAACCCGTTTCCCTCCTGAGTGTATAGTAGGTATATTTGTATAGACAGAACTATGACATGGGCCATACTTTCTCCAGTATTGCATACAGGCAGAAAGGCCAAGTCCTACCTGTTTGACAACAAGTCTGGTTAGAACCACTATGAAGAGGTTACAGTTACACAGGACATACTGTATGACTGTGTGACTCGGGGAGTTGCATGTGATCAGCTTCCAGAATGCTGTGAGAATTCTACCAGGTAGAGGCACGTATAGAGATGATCATGCATCTACCTAACAACCACAGGGAAAAGAAAGATGAATGATATAAAAGAGAGTGTGAAATTCACAGTAGGTTTGACCCATACTATTGTGTCCTTGTAAGGGCCAATTCGACTCAAAGTAGATATTCTCTGGTCTGTAGTAACTGTCTACTTTAAATACACCGTTTCTTCATTTTGTAGAATAAAAAAATAACAAATTGTGAAGATAAAAATCTTTTCAAGGCACATGCTCTAAAGCTAGCTATACACTATGCGAATTTCAGCTGGTTCTTGATGAACCAGCCAAAATCACACAGTGGGGGCTGCTTTTGGCACCCTTCCCTCTATCAGCTGAACGGAAAATCTTAGGTTGAACAGAAAGGGCATTCTGTGCGGGTATTCTGACAGTGGCCAGCCACTGCTGTCAGAATACAATGAAGACAGTGAAGGATTCCGCAATTAACACTTGCAAGCATTGGAGGAATCTGTAATATTGTCTTCGTTCAGGTTGCAGGCTGAACGCAGAAAGTATTAGTGTATAGTCAGCTTTAGGCTGCCATTCTGATTCTGGCTTCATTACCTCGAGTTGCAGCCATGAGTTATGACATCTTGGGCTTCGTTCACATGGGGCGTTCTGGGATTCCTGTGGCTGGAATCCCCGGTGTCCCCATTCAGATGTGCCTGCTGTTCACATTGAAGTAAATGACAGGATGAGAGTGGCTGCATCCGTCAGCAGCAGTTCGCATGTAATCGTGATTACATGCAGTTTTGGAGCTATGATTGACACTGGCCTGTGTTCGCTGACCATCTATCCCAAACCGTATGTAATCTTCCCATGTACGATTACATGCGGGCTGCCACGGACATATGTGGCCGCTGTCACCCTATCATTAAAGGTTTTTTTTTTGCCTATATCTACTGCTATCAAGCAGTAGATATAGGCAAACAGTTAAAAAACGTACCTTTTTTTTCTTTTTCTATGCGTGCTCCCGCCTGAGAAAACGAAACTATTCGGGCGCCGCTAAGCATCTTGGGGGGGGAGCGGTTCGCATTATCGGCCGGGAGACGCAGAGACGTAAGGTAAGTCTATGGACGCGTGCACCCGCATGCAGACAGTGTGGGATCAGAAGTGCCAGCAAGCAGAGAGGAGTCAGCGCTGGATCGGAGAGCCGCCGCACCGCTGGAGGGACAGATGAAAACATCAGGAAAGAAGAAGATCGGATTAAGAGACATCATTTAAGGTAAGTGCTAACATTAACATTGGGGGGAGGGAAAAAAATGTATCCTTTAATGTCACTTTAACTTCAATATGTACAGCAGTTGCATCTGAATGGGGACACCTTGCATTCTTGATGCAGGAATCTGTAGGGATCAGGAAATGCAGCCTTAGGTCTCTTTCACACCATAAGCAGTGACTGGCATTTTTCAGCAATAGAACAATCCCAGTCACAAATGTTTTTCTTTATGCCTTGTTAACACCACAACGCAGGTGAGAAGTGTGGTACACTTAGAAAAAATGCAGTCATGCTGCATTTTTTTTGTACAGGTCATTTGAGAGCATTACCTTGCGCTTCTGTGCGGAGACCTAAATGGTTTGTACACTCCAAATAAAGTTAACAAAGAAAAAGTAAACAGTCCCAGCACAGTCCACCACCCACCAGACCTGTCACACCTTACTAGCATGCATGCTAAAGCTGAGCATTTTAGCATGTGGGCTGGTGTGTTGGGATGGTCGCGCTTGCGATATAACATGCATTAGTGTGCTGTGGTGCCATTCATTCTGAATTTACATTTGTGCACTCTGGTTAATGCACATTCTAAGTGCACTGCAATGCACTATGATGAGTTGAGGTAGACTGCATCGCTAAAAATGGTTCATGCACCATTTTGGTGAACTAGCCATCCCTTTTAAATAAATAGGCTGCTTTAAGGAACAAATAAAGTGGGGTATTGAAAAAAAGTGCTGTGGAGGCGTTTGCCATAATGTGCTAATATGCACAGCTGCGCACTACATGATTGCGCACAAGTGCACAAAGCAAGGTCCATAAAGACATGGATGAGTGAGTTTGGGGTGGTGGAACTTGACTGGCCTGCACAGAGTCCTGACCTCATCCCGATAGAACATCTTTGGGATGAATTAGGCCCGGTTAACACCTGGGCATTTTGTATCGCGTTCCTACGCTCTGCAAAACGCTCAAACGCCGAAATCCCACTATTTCCTATGGGTATGGTTCACACCTGGGCGTATTACAGGCCGTATGAACGCGCTACAAAACGTCCTACACCCAAAGAAGTACAGGAGCTTCATTGGGGCGTTTTTGTCGCGCGTTTCCATTGGGATACAGCCAAGTAGCCCTCGGAAACGCGCATTTTTTTACCGCAACATATTCGATACGCCTAGGTGTGAACCCAGCCTTAGTATCAGTACCTGACCTCACAAATGCGCTTCTGGAAGAATGGTCAAACATTCCCATAGACACACTCCTAAACCTTGTGGACAGCCTTCTAGAAGAGTTGAAGCTGTTATAGCAGCAAATGGTGGGCCAACTCAATATTGAACCCTACGGACTAAGACTGGGATGCCATTAAAGTTCATGTGCGTGTAAAGGCAGATGGCGCCCCGAACCTTTTGGCAATATACTGTATGTGGGTGTATGGAGTGTCTGTATCCATGAGATCATTGTCATCATTGGGAAGAATGGGCACAAATTCCCACAGACGGACTCCAAAATCTTGTGCAATTGTGGAGTGGAGGCTTTTATAGACACAAAAGGGGGCCAACTTCCCATGTAAGCCAATGATTGTGGAATTGGGTCTTCAACCTGTGTGATGGTCAGGTGTCCAAAAACCTATAATATACACTGCCTGGATTTTGGGCAGTGTTATGATCTGGAGTTGCGTCAGTTGGTCAGGTTCAGCCATGTGATGCCTACCTTACATTCTGCCTACCTGAATATACTGAATGACCAGATTTTTCCATCAATGGATTTTTTCTTCCCTGATGGCACATTGGGCATATTCCAAGATGACAATGCCAGGATTCATCGGGCTCAAATTGTGGAGAGTGGTTCATGGAGCAAGGGACATCATCTTCACACAGGATTGGCCACCACAGAGTCCAGACCAGAACCCCACTGAGACGACTTTACACAGTGGTCCAACTCTCCCATCATCACTGCAACATCTCGCTGAAAAATGAAAGCAACTTTAGGGCTCAGACGGTTATGGGGCATTTTCGGCCCCATAGACTAATGGCAGTGCCTGAAAATGAGTTTTTTTTCAACAATCTCCTTCTAGTACTTGGGTTTCCATTAGCTGAAATAAAAATACTGCAAAAAGGCCTGAAACCGCTCATGCTCAGGTATGAATACAGCCTAATAATTGTCCATGAATGAAAATAATGTAGAATAGATCATACTTAGTAGACTATGGAGTCCAGCGTTGTCTATCTAACAGCCAAAGTTTAGCTTTTGTTCCCACGCTGCCATCTTGAGACTTCTGTTGGTTGAGACTTCCTGCTAGGCATACAATGCAACATTCTGCACATGTGCGGACATGACTGCGTTTTGCAGCATGTCTGCACACACTTGGGTGGATTCCACGCATGTGCAGACAAGCCACTGGTCTAGGCCAGGACCAAAATACTTGGAGCAGACCCATGGCATGTCTGCATGTACAAACTCTTGTGGCACACTTGCATTCCTCACCAAAACACTTCCTGCTGTGACATGTGATGTGGACAGCCCAAGAGGCAATGGGACTATGCTCTATGCCATCCTCGCCTAGGCAAGGCATTGGGAAGTGGTGGGACACCGCACCTCTACAGTAAATACTTAAAACAAAATCCAACTGTATGTTATTGTATACGAGGGCTGAACGAGAGAAAGTTCATCTACTGGGCGGAGGTCCGCCTTCAGCTGTCACAGCACACTTCCTTCTATGCGCGCTCCCGTCACTCCTCAGGTCTGACGTCAGACTCCGCCCTTAGGGGGGGCGCGCAGTCAGTCAGGAAAAGGGGGTGAAGAAGATGGCGGATGTGGAGGAGCAGCTATCTGATGAGGAGAAGGTTGGTGCGTTTATGTGTGTTAGGATGAGCACTCTTATTAGCTTCATAGAAGGAGGTGTACCGGGCAGTGTAGGGGCCCCGGGAAGTCATGGTGGGCTTCCGCTCTATGTCGGGAGGGGGGAAGGTGTTTCAGGTGAGTGGGCTCCGGTAATAGCGCTTAGCTCGGGGTGGGGTTGTGTGACTACCGCCGCTTCTTCCTCCCAGCGTGTCCGCTCCTTGTACGGCCTCGGCCGAAAATAGGAAGGGCGGAGACCGGCCGGGTCATACATGGAGCCCACATACAGAGAATGGGCCCCCTGGCTCAACTGTCATTGCTGACCAATCAGTGGTCGTAGACACCTCCCACCCCCCCAGCAGGGAGCTTTATAGCTCTGTGGTCTCTGACCTCCATGTTGCATGTACAATCCCTGTATGCCTCTTCTGGGGGATCTTCCATGTCAGGGGATTTCTCGTAGGGGGGTCACACTGCTGGGAGTAGTCCTCAGAGTATATGGGGGTGCACACTGCTGGGAGTAGTCCTCAGTTTATGGGGGTCACACTGCTGGGGAGTGTCACAGTGCAGGTTTAGGGATGGGGGATGTTGTATAGAGAAGTCTGTCACCTGTATAATGATAGCAAACCTGTACAAAATCATAGCACCCCGTGTTTAAAGTGGAACTCCGGCACATTTGTCAGGATTTTGATAACTGTATCCCCATTAGGGAGGTTCCCCACACTTCCTGTCCCATAAACATAACAGGAAGTGAGAAGACAACTCCCCATAGTAAGGGGAAATAAAAAAATTTCAAGTTCTCACTAAAACAGGTCCATGCCTGCCTATGTGAAGATATTTAATTAGCCCACATGCTAAAATGCTGAGTTTTACGCCCCATTCACACTTGGTGTGTGCAGCGTTTTCGTGTGTTATGTCACATTTGTTGTGTGTCCGCATAAGGTAGCCATTTACTTCAATGGGCCGTCTTATGCTGCACAGCAAAGAAGCTCATGCAGCTGCAAGTTTTGTGTGTTTTATGACTGGGTTGGTCATGTGCTACAACATGCATGTTTTTTTAGCTGCGTTTGGGAAACCATTAATAACAATGTCACCACCAGAAGCAAAATGTTCTTTTTTTTTTTTTTTTTTACACCTGAATGCAAGTATGAATGAAGCCTTAGTGGGGGTATTTAGTGTCTGTGTGTGGTCCAGCGGGGGAGGGGGGTTGGAAACAGCACATTACACCGTATACTTCCTTTTTTATTGAGAGTGTACATGTATCCATGCAGCAGTGCGGTGTGCTGTGGAAAATGCAGCGTGTTTGTATTTTTCCGCTTGGCACATATTACCAGTGTTGTGTTGTGAACAGGGCATGTAGAAAACAATTGTTCTTGTGCAGAAAAATGCAGGTCACCGCACATAGCATCAACATAACCTTAGATGCTGCTTGATGTAGAGTCATAGGGCCATGTGACACAAGTGATCTCGTAGCAGCCATTCCTCACAGCTATACATTTACACATGTCGGAGATTAACAGCATTTAGTAGTTAGTAAAGTAATTGCTGTAGTCACTGCTACAGATTCAACCAGTGCTGCAGCAGTAGATTGGTGTGCAGTGTTACAGAGCGCTCTCCATCAGTGTTTTTGTTTAGCTAAACCATAGATGTGAGTTGTCACTGACAAAAAGCAAACTCAGTTGAGTAACTGAGCTACAAATCTCTATAATATTAGAATGCCAGCGAATCCATAGAAAAGAAGTGTGATTTTTTTTTCTTAGCAAGAAATCATAAATATAATATATAAGAAATCCTCCATCTGACATGGACCTAATAATAAAGCAGACATTAGAGGAATCCCCTAGTAGAAAAATGTGGATGCTAAGGGCCCATTCACACCATAGCATTGCATTAATTGCACAATACAGTGTGATTAACGCGTGCTATTGCATAGTGCACCCAGTGTGCGTTACGGTGCGCTAGGTGTATTGTGTTGCCACCATTTGAATGGCACCCCAATACTGTGCTGTATGATGAAAAAATGCATGCACTACTTTTTTGCAATACATGGTATTGCAGTATCGTGCGTTGCGCTGCTATGTGCAAAACAGATGACAAACGCACTCATCAATTCGTCACCAGCTTTACAGTAAGGTGCACACGGAATGGGCTTTAAACAGTAAAATAGCGAAAAGTTTTCCTGGCACACTCGCAAGCTAGCATGTAACAAAAACGTGTCTCACACTAAGGATAATAACAGAGGTTTGGATACACGTCTTCTGCAGAAAATGTGAAAGCCGCACAGCCGCGCCAAGGCACCTCTATATAGTGCGGTCCTAACTCTAAACTATCAGAGCCTCCATCTTGGAGCACATGGGGCAGAAGATAAAATTGGGTGCAGGTTTGTCAGGAGGAAGCCTAACCCCCTTAAAGGCACAAGGGATCCCGCACATCCCAATGTCAGCTGAGACCCCCCATGAATGGCACCCCAATACTGTGCTGTATGATGAAAAAATGCATGCACTACTTTTTTGCAGTACATGGTATTGCAGTATCGTGCATTGCGCTGCTATGTGCAGCGGCTGGCAGGTGTGTTGCGGTGCCATTTAAATGAATGGCAGTGCACAATGATACATGTTTGGTGCGCTGTGCAATTAAATGACCCTAAAAATTGAAAAGGTTCTCAGAAAAAAAAAAAAAAAAATGGGCTTGCCATATTTGTAGGACTGAAGTGCATGGTGAATCCAGATCAAATAAATATACATTAGCCAGCAGAGTATTTATTTACGTTAAAGTGACATTGAAGGCAAAACATTTTTTCCCTCAACCCAACGTTAATGAAAGCACTTACCTTAAATGATGTCTCTTAATCCGATCATCTTCTTTCCTGTAGTTTTCAGCCTTCTCTCCGCTGCTGCGAGTCTCCGATCCAGCACCGACTCCTCTGTCCTTGTGTCTGCATGGGTGCACGCATCCATAGACTTACCTTGTGTCTCTCTTCGCGTCCTGGCTGAAAATGAGAATTGCGCATCTTGTTCCCCCCCAAAAAAAACAATTATTTGCGGCCGCCCGAGCTGTTTCACATTTTCGGACGGGAGCACGCGGGGAAGACACAGATGAGTTTAAACCGCTGTTAAAGCAGTTTTTGTTTTTAATATATGCAAAAAAAGCTGAGGGTTTAGAAACCCTTTAAGCCCATTCACTTACAATCGCCATGTTTCCAGACAGCTGACTCCAGCTCTCTCAGCTTGGCTTCCCTGAACTTCCTCTCCAGAAGGGACAGAGCGGTCTGTAGCAGCTGTCCATCTACTATCTTGGAGGAGGGGAGTGTCTTTCCTTGCTGTGTCTGTGCATTTGTGGAGACACACATCTTATTAGCACACACAAGGGTGGGCTCCATATGACCCAGCAAGGGAAAGGAGCCACTCTAAAACAGGTTATAAGGACCAGTGCACAGGGGACCAGCTGATTCTTCAGGAAACTAAAAACTTTTAAACATCAAGAAACCACATTCATTGTAAGTTGTTTATTCGACATTTAAAATAGCTTAAAATCCTTTTGATGTTAATATTTGATTTAAAAATGTATAGCTGGGGCCTAACTTGAAGTTTTCTCTGGTTGTTGTCTATAAAGCTCGCCCCTAGATTGGACAGACTGGCTCCTGAATTCCATATTAATTTGTCCACCCGTGTGTTAGAGATTTCCCCTCCATTCCTATCCTGGGGACCTTTTTATCAAACAGGAAATGAAGGAACCTCTCCAACGGAGCATCCGACTGCAGTAAAACTTACAGCGCTGCATGACGGAATAAATGTCAGTCAAAGTACCGCAGCGCTGAATACTGAAAAATGGCCTGGATGGGAAGGTGGTTTAACACCGCGGATGTCAACTGGTTAATGCAGAACTCTGAGCAGATATAAAAGACACTAAATAATGCAGCTCAGTCATGGTGCAGCCAAAAAAAAAGATTATTTTGGCTTCCTGTAGAACGTTCTGAAAGTCAATTTACATAACTACAGTCTACAAGATTAATGATCAATTTACATAAACCTGTTTAGCTGAGTGTCAATTGAAGCAAATGTGGGCTTGTGCTTCCCGAGCAGGGGACCACAGAGCAGTGGATGTTTTTCCTGGACTTTACAGGCAAAGCGTCTCCAGGCTGGGATATCACCAAAATGTAAAAAGTGTCACCTCACCTTTTGTGGGTATTTCAATGTTCAAAATGTCTAAAAAAAAAAAAAAGGTCAGATCTCATAACTCCTGTCCCATGCATCATATGATCGTTGAACCTTCAGGGAAAGAGTGGTGTCACAAAGACGAGGTGACTGATACTAAACATGAGAGTTTTTTTTTTGTACAATATGTATTTAAGGTTCTGTTGGCCATAGTGTGCTGGAGTTTGGAATTGTTTGGAACCCAAACCATCACTTTCAGATCCATAATTTATAACTGGAAACTGGTTTTGATCTTCACTGTATACTATAATGGAGATCTAAAACCAAGGAATTGTCACATTCCAGGGGTCCATTGACATGGGGTATGTCCATGTTTTTCCATCCAACCCTGGAAGCAGGATTAATCATAATTTCTGTAAGTTTATCCCTTTTTTTTATTTTAAAACTGGTTGCTTGTATGTACACTATATTGCCAAGTATTAGGACACCCCTCCACACCATTGGATTCAGGTGTTCCAATCACCTCCATGGCCACAGGTGTATAAAATCAAGCACCTAGGCATGCAGACTGCTTCTACAAACATTTGTGAAACAATGGGTTACATCACCACGTGCAACGCAAAGCGTCGGATGCAGTGGTGTAAAGCACGCCGCCACTGGACGCTAGAGAAGTGGAGACGTGGTCTCTGGAGTGACGAATCGCGCTTCTCCGTCTGGCAATCTGGTGGACGTGTCTGGGTTTGGCGGTTGCCAGGAGAACAGTACTTGCCTGACTGCATTTGACCAAGTGTAAAGTTTGGAGGAGGGGGATTATGGTGTGGGGTTGTTTTTCAGGGGCTGGGCTTGGCCCCTTT